TAAAAAAAAGGTGGGGGCTCAAAGGCTGCATAAGGGTTTCCTCATTTCTGAGAACACAAGCGAGTAACTGATATCGGGCCTGCCTAGAGGAAATTGCCAGTTTATCCACATGGGGAATCATGCGTTGGGAATGTAGCTGCCTCACTCCTCTGGGGAATGGAGTCCTTTTCCCCAAATCTGATGCCTTGGTCTGCTTTTCCTCTGGCTGCAGGAATGAGGCTCAGTGTCACGGTGACCACAGACCTGTGCCAACGCGATGTCACTAACAATGTAACTTCAGAAAAGCGGGTCCTTTTCCCCACCACTCAGAGAAATTCCAAAGCTATCCCCTAGCCTGGCTTCTCTCCCTCTCCCATCCTGATACATCTTCCCTGGATGGGAGACATCAGGGAATACCATTCAAGGAGTTGAGCCACTGAGGGAAGCACTCCCAACTTAGGCAGGAAATCGCTGGTGAGAAGAGACAACCCTTGTTATCTCCTTCTCCAGCATGCAGGGTGTGTTCATGGAACCAAGTTTTTATACAAGAAAGAAGTTGGTAAATAGGGGAGGATTCATTCATTTGCCACCTGTGTGCCAGGAATGTCCCAGGCCTGGAGACGGATGCATACCAGAGGGGAGAGGCCTTCCCTTGACACTGAGGGGAGGGAGTCAGACAACAGATCAGCAGTTTGTGTCAGATCACATGGCCCAGGACTACGGAGGCAGCAGTCTGTGGGCGGTGAGGGAGGCCACTTCACCTTGAGAGCTAGATAAGATGTGCACTGGGGCGGGGAAGGCTTGAGTCCTAGGCAGCCTGGGCAGGGCCTGGGACAGCTCTGAGCCAAGGGGCAGCTCTCGTTAAGGGGGATGAAGGGAACATGTGGGGGTGGGTGGAGGGCCATGTCTTTCTGCAGCTGCCCTCTCTGCCAATAGATCAGGAATCAGCACCTGAAGCAGACAGAAGTCTTCCTTGGAACCTCTCCTGAGGGAACACCAACGTCTCCCAAGACTACACACAGAATAATCAGGGTGGGGCAATGTGGCCGGAGTGTCTGTAGTTATTTTCTTTTGTGGTTCAAGTTTAAACACACTCAAGCCATGTAGCATCATACTGCATGTATTTGAAAGGCACCAGATATTTTCTACCAAGTTAAAGAAAAAAGAGCTCTTACCTACAGGAAACATAGTTTTAAAATTTCCAATTTTGGATGTTTTCAAATTATCAGAACTTTAAAAGTTAGATTTCAGAAAACGAAAGCCTAGGTATAGGCTATTGCTCTCAACGTTACTCTGGCAGGATTGAGCAAATTGAAAACACGCATTGGTGTTTTACAGTGTCAAGCAACAGGAAATAAACTGTAGGCAACCACAGAGAAGTTTTCAGAAACTGGAGTTGCAAATTAGTCATTCTAAGACTTAAAATATTACAGGTGTTAGTCTGGAGATAAGCAGAGCTGCCTTTTCCACTTTCACTTTTAGCTGAGAATATCTTCCTGGTACATGTTCTTTTTAGTAACTTGATATTAATACATTTATGGTTTAATGTTATTGTTAATTATAACAACACAATTCTCAGTCATGCAGTTTAAGTATGAGCTGAATAAAACAATGAGTCATCCTCCATTCAATACTTTACTAGGACTATTTACATATTTATATAATGGGTCCTTCCAAATCATTAAACCAGAAACCAGATAATACTGTTCACCACTTTAACTGAGATTAAAAATATAAACAATAACAGTATAAAATCGCCTGTCTGCTTTACATCGATGATTTGAAAGCAAATCATGGAAAATTTCCCATTTGGCTGATGCAGAACTTGAGTTCACGTACAAACCAGAGAAGGACCCATTACTGCAAAGTTCATCATCATTAAATAAAAACGCTACTACTGACCACAGCAAAGAGGTCTTGGGGCCATAATTCAACTCAATCAATTCCATGGCCATTTGTAAGGCACTTTTGTGTGCAAGTCGGGGCTTCCAACCTCAGGACCTAGACATTCAGGTGCACTGCCATCTGCCTAGAGTTGGAGCACACATCATTTCAGGTTGTGTTAAACACCAAAAAAAAAAAAAAAAGAAAGAAAGAAAGGAATAATACTCCTCCCCAGTTAGGGTAGATTCCAAGTTTTGCTCACCATGCCAGGTTTATTTCTTCATCATCTGAAATAATTCTTGAGCGTAGAGAAAGGAGTGGACAGAGAACCAGACCACGAGGACCCTGTCCTAGCCACTTGTGGTCCTTGTGAACACCATCTGATTATCTGCCACAGGTGTCTTATTGGAAAAAGGCTCAGAACCCCAACTCAGAGACACGACCGAACACGGTGAGGCAGGGAATCCAATCAGAAGAAAGAAGTTGGTGCAGATAGGTAAGGCAGGAAATGGGGAAAGCTGAGCTCAAAACACAGAGAAGATGAGCTCTGACTAGCAGGAGGATTTGGTTGACTATTTTTATAAATTTCTTAAAAATTAATTTAATTTTTTTTGAGTCGGAGTCTCATTCTGTCGCCCAGGCTGGAGTGCAGTGGCAGGATGATGGCTCACCTCAGCCTCCACCTCCTGGGCTTAGGTGATCCTCCTACCTCAGCCTCCTGTTTAGCCAGGAGTACAGAAGCATACCACCAAGCCTGGCTAATAAATATTTTTTTTTTGTAGAGAAGAAGGCTTGCCATGTTCAGGCTGCTCCTGAACTCCTGGACTCTAGTAATCCTCCTGCTTTGGCCTCCCAAAGTGTGGGATTACAGACGTGAGCTACTGTGCTCAGCCTGGATGATTTTTAATGTGTAGTTTTCCCATTTGCTTCTCTGTATTTTCCAAATATTCTATGATACACGTTAGGAAAAGGCTATGAAGGGAGGTGCTACAGTGTGACTGCAGGAGGCCTGGAAGCGGAGGCTGAGGACTCGGGTTTTAGTCTATGTGCCAAGGAATGCCTGGACATTTCCAAGGGCAGGGGGCTACCAATCCAAGTGTTTTAGAAGCAAACCCTGTAGCACAAGTGGAGGACACAGGGAGTGGGAAGGGCCTGGGACTTTGGCTCCGAGACTGGAGAGCTCTAAATAGTGCCCATGTCAGCATCTGGATCCGAATCTCTGAGGTGGGTAAGGGCCCAGGAGGTTTGAAAATTCTTTGGGAGATTCAGATGTGCAGTCAGGGCAGAGCAAAACCCAAAGGAAGGAGAACTGGTGGGAAGCTTGTGGAATAAAATTGGTTATCAATTCAGGATAGGTCTAAGGACACAGCTCAGATAGTTCCCACCAAAAGGACAAAAAATGGAGTCAATTCAGCCAAGAGCAGCTATTTTAACACGGTTTAGTTTTGTCATGCTTTTCCAGCAGTTTAAATTACCCTCTAATGACTAGCCAAGGACAGAACCAGTTTCTCAGAGGTAGCTATTGATAATTGTTTTACAATCTCCTCTCTAGCTTGTTTTGTATTAATTAGCTTTTCCATTCCAAGTATTTACCTCCAGCCATAAACGACCAAGTTAACCTAATCAGACACAGAAATCCCCTCATCACCTTGGCAACAGTCATGTGACTGACCCACTTATCTGCCTGCTGTCTGTCACCTGATGTCAGCACTTGTGCTTACCTGCGCTTTGTGATGACAGGGAACAGACCACCACTCAATCACCTTAACGACCCACCCACACCAAAGGGAAGGTTTAAAAAGTATTCAATCTCAAGCAGCCAGGGACATTGTTTCTCTTTAAGCTTTGGCCAGGCCATGTGTTCATTGGGCCATTGCTTTTGCTAAGCTCTGGTTCAGCCATGTAGTTCTTTGAGCTGTGGTAGCCATGCTTTTATCTAAGCTTTGGCCCCCTGCCATACGTTTCTCCTTTATTGGAGAATCTCCTTTCTCTTTCTCTCTCTCTCTCCTATTTACTTTCTTAATAAACTGTATTTTCCAATCTAACTTCTGTGCAATTTTCTGCATCTTTCTTGCAGTGCCAGATCACAGACATCTCCTTCCCCCTCCATCTCACGACCTAACACCCATCCTTTTGCTAGAATTCTAGGATTCAGAATGAATTCTTCCAGAGCATGGTGGGGGTCTCCTCTGTGGACCAGAGTGAAAGTCAGAGCCAAACTCTGAGGGGAGTGAGAGGAAATCTGTTGGAAATCAGTAGATGGAAGCAGGCATTGGAGTCAATGGATCTGATCAGTTTCATTGCTTATGAATTGGTGTAAAGCTCCCTGCGTCTTCAAACCAGCAGCCAATCAGATAGAATGCAGTTGGAAATTCTTTTATTTAAAAAACAGAAAATGTTGGAAAAGCAAACACGTTGATTAGATAAACATCTGGCAGGACTAGTGTTCAAAATAAAGGTCACAAGCCCCAGATCTCATTGACAAGATGGGATGTGGTGAGACTGGCAAAACCAGCCAAGACCAACTAAGACCAAGATGGCATGGAAAGCATCCTCTGTTTGTCCTTTTTGCTTATCATACACTAATTATAATGTATTAGCATGCTAGAAGACACTCCCCTCAGTGCCATGACAGTTTACAATCACCATGGCAACGCCCAGATATTACCCTATACAGTTTAAAAAGGGGAGGAACCTTCAATTCTGCCAACTTTCTGCCCTCTTCCTGGAATAGATTTTTGCACGAGAGCAAAGGAATTATATAATTTCTTTTGTCTCTAAACCTTCCGATACTTGCCATTTAAATCCTACAACATAGGCAGAGCAAGGGCCTCTTCATCTTTCTTTTTTCATTTCTCTCTTTCTTTCCCCTTCTGTGTGTTTTTCTTTTTTCCTCCTCCACCTTCTTCCCTTCCTTCCTTCCTTCATTTTCTTTCAAGGTCAAGACCTGCCTACTGACATGCAATTTTCCTGAATAAGTTAATAATAATAATTGATCATAGTAGCAAGAGCCCTGCTTCCACCCAGCTGTCAGGGAAGAGTGTGGAAGCTCATGCCTTTAGCTTAGGACACATCAAGGTGATTTGTGTTTTACAACAAACCAACACATGCGTTTTTAGGCTCAGTTCCCGTCTTACCGTATTGGCTTTCTCAGGGTTTAACTCCCGTTTCCCCACATGGTTTCCCATCCCGAATGGATCAGCTCTTCAGAGGCTACAAGAAAAAGAGAAGGTGTTAGTCTGAAGGCTAGTACATTTAGAGTTTTCTGCATCATTTTTCTTTCTTTCTTTTCTTTTTATTATAAAGATGTGGGGTACAATTCAGGGTTAGGCTTCTACATCGTTTTTCAATCAGAACAACAGCCATGTAAGATAAATATTATTTATATTATTATTATTGTTTCTTGAGACAGGGTCTTGCTCTTTTGCCAAGGTTGGAGTATAGTGATGCCATCATAGCTCAGTGAAGCCTCTAACTCCTTGGCTCAAGCAATCTTCCCTCCTCAGTTTCTCGAGTAGCTGGGATAGGCGAACACCACTATTCTTGGCTAATAATGCTCATTTTTGAGACGAGAAAGCCAAGTCATCTTATTAGCAAATGCATCTCTCGATCCTATTCAAAGAACTAGAAAAAGAGAACAGCACCAATACCCAAATTCTGCTCAGCAACCCACACATTTCAGCTCAGTTCCTTGTCGTTAAGAAATGCCAACCTGTCTCAAGAACTCTTGCAGATCTGTGTATATACACAAATATATATATATACAGAGATAATGACATCTCATATTCAGGGGTAATGTCATGAGATGAGCCAAAATGTCACAAAAGTACTCAACAAGTTTCTAAAAATAAAAGATAATGAGTAGTTCTTTGTGCTCACTGCTTTCACGAATCTGTGAGTGCTGGAACAGCAGAAATCAGACTGACAACTCTTCCCAGACAAGTATCCAAAGAATCTACAGAATTTGTAGGGAAGGTACAATTGGATTTTTAAAAAAATAATTTTTTCTCATTTTTATTTTCTAATCCAAAACTTAGCAGCAAATTGAAGATCCTCCCCCCCTCACCAATATGCACAGATCTAAAGAGCGTAACCAAAACCCATTCCAAACCAATGGCTCATCCCTTCCTTACCGTGGGGCCTACCCTGCCATGAGAAGCCCATCAGCTGAGGCTCCTTGAAACACCAGCCTAGACATGGTGACCAGAGTCTTTAAGGACAATTTTGCAAAGTGTTGTTTTTCATGACGTATTCTTTTTAAAGAAGGTGTGAGTGGCACTACTTGTCAGACCTAGGAACAACCTTCCTTGAGAGATAACAAGATGAACCATCTCTTAAATGTGGGAAGGGGGACTTTCCAGAATAGGATACATGCCTGAATACAAGGCAAATTTTGTTCCCCAAAAGTCACTCTTTAGAAAAGAAAGAATTGTCTAACAACAGGACTTTTCCAGCTCCCACATGACGGGGCACTTTTTTGGTGACTGACAAGGGTTTGGCTGAGAAGTCTCCTCCACGAAGATCCCAATCATCCCAAAGCTGACCGGTCAAAAGGCTGGTGAGAAGAGAAGCCAACACCTACACACGGTAGTCACTCCTGAGGTGCGGCCTCCCTCGTGGGAGGGACATAGTCATTGCAGGAGTGAAACCCCCACCTACAGCTGTCCTATGTAAATAGAAACCAGTAGGGGCCTCAGGCAGAGAGACGTGGGGGAGCGCTGTACCTCCATTAAGGAGTGCCTCTGGAAAGTAGCTCCAGTAACAAGTGCCAGTAGCTTGAGCTCTGTCAACTCAAAAGACATAGCTCTAGAGATGAGAACACGACCACCTTCAAAGAATCAGGTGATTCTTGGCTAAGCACAGTGGCTCAAGCCTGTAATCCCAACACTTTAGGAGGCTGAGATGAGAGGATTGCCTGAGCCATGGGTTTGAGACCAGCCTGGGCAACATGGTGAGATTCTGTCTCTACAATAAAATTTTTTAAAAATTAGCTGGAAGCCGGGCTTGGTGGCTCAGCCTGTAATCCCGCGCCTTTGGGAGGCTAAGGTGAGTAGATTGCCTGAGCCCACGGGTTCGAGACTCGCCTGAGCAGCGAGACCTCATCTCTACAACAAATCAAAAAATCAGCCTGGTGTGGTAGCGCATGCCTGTAATTCTGGCTACTCAGAAGGCTGAGGCAGAAGGATCGCCGGAGCCCAGCAGGTTGAGGCTGTGGTGGCCGGGAGCGGCCACTGCACTCCAGTCTGGGTGACCGAGTGAGACTCCAACTCAAAAAAAATAAAAAAAAAAAGAAAAGAAAAAAAAAAAAAATTAGCTGGTCCTGGTAGTGCCCACCTGTAGTTCCGGCTACCTGGAAGGCTGAGGCAGAAGAATTGTCTGAGCCCAGCAGATTGACTCTGGGGTGGCTGTGAGCATGCTACTGCATACCAGCCCGAGTGACAGAGTGAGACTCCAACTCAAAAAAAAACCCCCAAAGAATCAGGTGATCCTTCATGTTTCATGGCACTAGAGTAAAGGGAAGCAATATTTTAATTAGTGCCTCATGTTTCATGGCATTAGAGTAAAGGGAAGCAATATCTATATTTTTAATATATGATTTTAAAAATGCAAGACTGCCTTTGCTGATATTTTTAGTATCCAGTGCAATCCTATCACTTACCTTCACAATTTATTTAAATTGGACAACTAAGAAGGGCTTTATAGGTAATGCTTTCACTGGAAAATAGAGGTTTTGTTTGGTGCTTAGAAGTATAGGTAAGAATGGGTAAAAAAATCTCCCTAACTCCACCACCCATCTGTAAGATTAATATACATTGTAAAGGGTTTAGTTATTCTTTATAGAGGAAAAAGGGAGAATAGATGTGAACTATACACTTTTATTGTAAATCATTAAGAAGCATTCTTAACTCAACATTGAATCATTCTCTTTGGAATTTTTTTCATTTCTTAGAAGACTATACATAGCTTAAACAACAAGTGACAAGTAGAAAAATGGAATAAAATTTGTCATATTCAATAAGAAAAGAGAATATTATTGAGCTATCACAATTTATCAATTCTCTGAGAAGCCAAAACACTTGTTCTAACATACAGAAAAATAAAAAATACATGGGTTCCATTACAGTGAAAATTTATTCAAGTAAAGGAGTGCAAATGCTTGAAAATAATTTGTCCCTATTTAGCCCCAAATTGAGGTGACATTCAGTTGCAAAAAAAAAAAGGACATCTCATTTTGTAAGAGCAGGTGCTTATTTATCTTATAGCTGCTTTTCTCTAGGACACTTTGTCTCTCATTGTGTGTTTCCAATAAAATGTTATAATATTTACTTCTTTTCTCAAGAATTACATTATTGCATACTGGAGTTATGATAGTAGTATTAGTTGTCCAAAAATTTTTGAGTTAATAGTTTTAAAATGTTTTGGATACTTTCACAGTTATTAGGAAATGTTCTGCCTAAGTTTAAGCTCAAATTTCCAGAATTACAAAACTTAAAAAAATCAAGTCAAAATGAAAATAAAAAATATGAAAAAAAAAAGAATGGGTAAAAAAAGGGAAATGTATAATTTGGTTGCATCCTCTCATGGTTAACCATGAGGGTTATGTTCCTTGTGGGATGTCACTGTGAATGCTGGGTACACAGTGGTTGCCGTTCTGAGGTCACTCTTGTGAATTCAATGCAGTGTTGTTTTAATTGCAGTGCCTCATGCCTGTAATCCCAGTCCTTTGGGAAGCCGAGGCAGGAGGATTGCTTGAGCCCAGGAGTTTAAGTCCAGCTTGGGCAAGATCTTGTTTCTACAAAAAGTTTTAAAAAATTAATTGGGTGTGGCACTTCATACTTGTAGTCCCAACAACTCAGGAAGCTGAGGTGGAAGGATCGTCTGAGCCCAGGAGGTCAAGGCTTTGGTGGGCCATGATGGTATCACTGCACTCCAGTCTGGGTGACAGAGTGAGATCCTCAACTTGTAGACAAAAACAAACAAACAAACAAACAGAAACTTGCAATGTGTATACACTTTATAGAATAACAACTATCAAATATCTGTGGGTCCACCTTTCTGTTTAAGAAATAAGAATTGGTCTATTCAAGCTAAACACAAGTGAAAATAGGTAACTTCTCTTAGTCAAAGTCGACAGCAAGGGTCTTCGAGGCATTCTGCCTGTCTGGACACAAAGCACTGGGTGTCACCACTGTTTTTTCTGCTGCCATCCCCGCCCAGGCGCTGTCTCAACTCCGTTTTCAGTGAGTCCTCCCTGCCCAGTCCCCTTCGTCTACCTATGGTCTCCACCTTCTCCGCACCCTATTCTTCCATCTCCCCAAGCTGGCATTAGGCAAATCCCAGTGCAGTATTCCCTCCTTCTAGGAAACAAGTCTCTAAAGATCTGTCCCAATGCTGAATAGTGTGGAGCAAGTACATGTTTTGAGAGTTACTTGTGGACAAAGAGAGCTATTTTTGGACAAAGTGCCCAAGAACATGGCCGAAATCGAACCACCAGATGCTTAACTGCTCTCTGGAGGGCAGCAATACTTCTTCCAAGTCATCTTGTTCTGATCAAATCTTTATCATGCTTCATAGCACAACTCTGGATTATACGGGGATGACTGATTTTAATCACTCATTGGAAAACTCAAGACTACTGAACCCAGGGTCGATGAAGATAAGCCCAGTCCTGATCAGACTTCTGAATAAACCTAGTTGGATTTGACTAGTTAGCTGGACAAATCTACCAATCTACATTTGACTGGCCTCTCAGAATAATGCAAAGAAGGTGTATTTATATGTGTCATTTAGGGTTAGTAAATTCCAGCCTTACATGCAAAATATATATACTAGCAAGAAAGAAAGTACAAGTGGAACAAAATGACAATCTGATGTATGTCCATCTTCTGTGATGAGGGCTCCTTGTCAATGGGAAATGCCCCCAGAGCACTAGCCCTTGAGATGTGTTTGTGGTACTATGGTGAGAACGACAGAGTACTGGGCTACTCACTCTTTGGCCTGTCCTCAGGGATGACGGGCAGTCTGTGTTGTCAACTCCCAACAAGCCACCCCAGTCTGCCTTCTGGAGAGAGTTGAGCTACGGAGGGATGGAGGTCTCCCTTACTGGGAGTAAGAGCTCCCTGGTGCTGGTTTCTGCAGCGGGTGGGAAAGAACCATCTGCAGCAAAAAGAAGCTGCATGCATGCAGGGCGTTTTCATTTGATTTCATTTTCGC